TCAAATGGCTGTTTTGTCATGCCCATCCACAAAAACAAAAAGAAGTCACACGGAGTGGGGTTAGGTGAGTAAGGTGTGTGGTGCAAGAGAGGCATGCTGTTTTTTGCCCAAAACGGGTGCACTGAGATGGCTGCTTGAGCAGGTGCATTATCATGGCAAAACCAGTCCCATCTGCCAAGAATCAGGCTTTTTTTTTTTTTCACACAGTGTAACACAATCTTTCCAAAACCTCTAAATAGAAAGAATGATTAACAGTCTGACCTGGTGGAATGAACTCCAAATATACTACAAGTAGCATTTGGACTGTTTAGGAAGTTGACAGATGTCCAGAATGAGGTTTGTCATCAATCGACATGTCACCTTTTATGAAATGAGAAAATCACTCATACACTTGAGTTTTTCCCATAGCGCTGTCCTTGCAAGCTGTGTTCAACATCACAACAGTTTCTGCTGCATTTTTCTCAGGCAGGAAACAAAATTTCACAGCCCCACGCTGTTGTCATAAATCGGCCGTCACCAAAAATAAGAGGATCCAACTCAAGTACTCCTTCAATGCAAGAACACTTTTTTCTTATTAAACTGGCATTCCATGACAGGAATGCTGAAGACAAAGCAGGTGCATAAGCAAATGTGGTGCAGAAAGCTGATGGTGCCCAGCTATCAAAAGATAGAGCGTCTGGGGTCTGAAGGCTTGAAGGTAAACAAGCGGCTTTCTAGCTCAGAAGCAACAAAGCCCATATAGAAGAAGCACACCAGTCTGTGTGATCATGAGGTGTCAGTGGGATCAGGTATCAGGCATCAAAGAAAAAAAAATATCATTGTGAACGAGGGGGAGTGCGGAGTGGGGACCCAAAGCCCATCTGTAGGCAACTGGACATCCCCTTACAGAAGAGTCACGGGGAAGAGACGGGCCAGTCAGGGTGCAGTGTAGCAACGATGAAACATACTACTTTCCTCTAGGTCTTTAATGCTTCCTCCTTCCCCATCCCACTATCATAATCCCAATTCTACATTGCAAATCTGGCTAGACCAGAGGATGTACACCAGTACATATAGGAACTGAAAACACAGGGAATCCAGGACAGATGAACACCTCAGGACCAGTGGTGAGAGTGGTGATACCAGGAGGGTGGAGGGTAGGTGGGGTAGAAAGGGGGAACCAATTACAAGAATCTACATATAACCCCCTCCTTGGGGGATAAACAACAGAAAAGTGGGTGAAGTGAGACACTGGACAGTATAAGATAAGACAAAATAATAATAATTTGTAAATTATCAAGGGTTCATGAGGGAGTGGGGAGCCGGGAGGGAAGGGGGAAATGAGCTGATACCAAGAGCTCAAGTAGAAAGCAAATGTTTTGAGAATGATGATGGCAACAAATGTACAAATGTGCTTGACATGATGTGTGCATGGATTGTGATCAGAGTTGTACGAGCCCCCAGTAACATGATTAAAAAAAAAACAAAAACCACATGATCAAATGTTACTTGTAAAGAACCTTAAAAAAAAAAAAAAAGGTTCCAGTGAAACTTTTTTACTAAAATATTCACTGTGATCTGAGGGAACCTTCCCAGGCGACCCCACTGGGTGCACTAACTCAGAGTGAGTTGCTTTATGCTTCCCCGGTGGAAAAGATGCATGATACAAAAGCTCTGCTCTGCCGAGTGCAGTTCCGGTTTGGGGAGGGTACCCCCTCATTAGATCACATCGGCATTCAAAAATAGTCCTTAAGATATGTCTGTCTTAACTAATAATACGAAGTAATGTCTTACACGTTTTCTTTTCATGAAATAATTATAACACATTGAGATTTGGTTTTTAGCTGAAATTCAGCCAATAAGTTTGGCTTAATGTGGTACTGTGTGTATGGTGTTTCACCCAAACCATTTTAAAGTACACTGTGATGTATATAAGGAGGCCTGGTGGTGCTGTGGGTTAAGTATCGTGCTGCTAAACACAAGGTCGGCATTTCAAACCCACCAGCCACTCCATGGGAGAAAAATGAGGTTGTTTGCTCCCATAAAGATTATTACAAACTCGGAATCTCTAAGGAGCAGTTTGACTCTGCCCTATGAGGGTGCAAGGAGACAGAACAGACTCCACAGCGGTGCCTTGACTTAGTTTGGGGATGTTTCTGGGCACTGTTTCCCTCTGTACACCAGGCCACTGGGAGTCAGAGGGGCTACCTCAGAGGCACCTAGCAATTCTCTGCTAAGAAAAAGGAAATACTGTTGTGTTTTGCAAGAAAGACAAATGCTGTTGTCCTGATTTCTGTGTGAAGTGGCTGTTGTGTGGTGTTCTGTAATGCAGTCTCCTGAGAACTGCTGTTTACCCTCTCCAAGGCCAAGGAGCAAACTTTATTATCTGTGGGACTCATAATGTTATGCTGTTGAATCTATTTCCAGCTCAGTGAGACAGTCCTGGCGGCGTAGTGGTTACTTGTTGGGCTGCTAACCACAAGGTCAGCAGTTCAAAACATGGGCTTTCTATTCCCAAAAAGAGTTACAGTCTCGAAAACTCACTGAGGCAGTTCAACCTTAACTCATAGGGGCACAATGAGTCAGCTTTGACTCGATGGCAGTGAGTTTGGTTTGGGTCTGGTGACCCCACATGACAGAGTAGAACTTCTCAACACAGTTGGTTTCGTAGCTACAATTCTTATGGGAACACCACCCCAGGAAGCAGATCACCAGGCCTTTCTCTTACAGAACCGCTGATAGGTTCGAACCACCAACCTTTGTCTTAATAGCCAGGCACATAACCTTTGCACCGCAGGAACAACTTGTAAGACTCCTTCAGGCGGTGGAAGAACCTGGTGTCATCTCTTCAGGGATTTAAGTGTGACCTAAAGCCAGAAAATATAAGGGTACAGTTGGTGTACGGTGAATTCGTATAAATTCTCTGGTGTAAATTGGGAGTTGTCCCAATCTAGTTCTGTACAATGAAAACTATTCCATTGGTAGATTTGCTGCTTTATGATGTATTCACCACTCATCTTTACCCGTTATGTTAATATTTCAATTATGGAATGACACACTGCCTGAGATATATCTGTGGAGACCATTCTCAGCCTGATCTAGTGCCCCCCAAAAGGGGGGGATTTGCTGGGAACCCAGCTTGCTTTACATGCCAGGGTGAATGCAGAGAACCACTTGGACTGGATGATGAAATTGTGCGAGTACTATAGCAAACATTCTACCAGTTTCTTGAGTGATAACAGCTCTATGGGTCTTGCCTCAGGAAAGGCTTGTCTCTGTGCCCCTCTCCTATCCAATTAGCTGTGTGTCAGTCAGATTTGTTACACCATTCTGTGTTAGTCTGGGTAGACTAGAGAAACAAATTCATAGACACTCATGTATATAAGAAAGAGCTTCATATATAAGAGCAATTGAATATTGAGAAAACATCCCAGCCCAGTCCAAATCAAGTCCATAAGCCCAATATTAGCCCATATGTCCAATACCAATCTATAAAGTCCTCTTCAGACTCACAAAGCACATGCAACGATGCCAAATGCAGGAAGATCAAAGGCCAGTGGGTGGAAGGTCTTGTGGATCCAATAGCGGTATAAGCATCTCAGTGCTGTCAGGAGTCTCCACGTGGCTCCTCCGGCTCCAGAGCTCTACTGTAGCTCTATGTGTCTTGTCAACAGAAATGTCTCACAAGGAGTGAGCATGTGTCCCGCCTCCAATGAGCTATTAATCTCCTTAGCACCTCCACGTGAGGTCTCAAGCTACGACCTGATTGACAGGCTAACCTCTACCCCTTCACTCCCAAGTCTCAAATTGACAACAGATTATATAACTACTAAAATCTCAGATCCAGTTTTGCTGTTTACTTTCTTTATAGAAAGAGGCATTTTGCTGGGACAAGGCTACATATTTGTACAATTTTTTTAAAAGTTATAAATGATAGCTGTAGAATATATTAGTAGTGTTTCTTGGAGCCATACAATTAAATAAACCTGCAAACTCAAACCATGCATTGTTATTTTTAGCCCCTGATAATCTGCCATACCATGGGCCACGTGGAGTAACTATTAGAGAATGAACCATCTTTAAAAAAAAACACCCAAAAACCTGTAACCTTTTCCTGTGTTCTTTTCTTATTGATTTGCTTTTGCCAGGCATATTTACTCAGAGACACCTATGATAGCTAGAAAGGAAAAGAAGAGATAACATCAAATAAAAATAATGACCCCAGATGTTTTGTTCTCCTCAGGCTGAAAGGAACTGTAATTGCATCTCCCTCAACTGGCTAACCTGCAATCATTTTGGAAAGGAATGGGGTATAGTTCTATCTGATGATATCCCCACCTAATGAATTCTAGTAGATTTTTCCTTACTTTGGAACTATTAAAGACCATCAAAAGCATGATCAATTTTACAGACTTATAGAACATAATGCAATTTTACCTTACCTATTTTCTGTTAAAATTTTAGTTGTGTTGACCTAAATTTAGGTTGAATTTAATTAATGTAATAGGATTTATTCTGAGATTCCAAGAACATTTTTTCAAGTACATCTAAAAAGGCAAACTGATTATAAAGAATATAGGATTGATTCATTAAGAATACATAGAAAAAGCCCATTAGTGACCTACTCATTAGTGACCCAATATGAAAACAGTGGAACCATAGAGTAGTACCAACCGTTGATGTACTAAGCTGGAAGGTTAGCAATATAAGGACACCCCATAGATTCTTGAGAAGACCGGCTGGTGGATCTACCCCTAAGAAAATCAGCCACTGAAAATCCTTGGGACACAATTCGACTCAGCTAGACATGGGGTCGCCATGGGTCAGAGTGGATCCAACAGTAACTGCTTTAGCTCTTTTATTGTCTTTCTAGATGCCCTTCATGGCAAAACCAGCGAAGCAAATGAGTTTTCATGCCACCAAAGAGAATGTTTTGTCTAATAGAGTGTACGAAAAGAGAGGGCATGCTTGCTTTGTACTGACGTCTCCAATGTGTGTGTATTTTGTTTCCACCCTCCCAGGTATGAGAAAGTGCCGGTCATCCTGGTTGGCAACAAAGTGGACCTAGAGAGTGAGAGAGAAGTCTCCTCCAATGAAGGTCGGGCCCTGGCTGAGGAGTGGGGCTGCCCCTTCATGGAAACGTCTGCTAAGAGTAAAACCATGGTGGATGAACTTTTTGCAGAAATTGTGAGGCAAATGAACTACGCTGCACAGCCTGACAAAGATGACCCATGCTGTTCTGCATGTAACATACAGTAGCATTCAAATGTGGCTATCCTGACTGGGATTTGCTCAGTAGTATAGGTCATGAGAACCACGGAGTTCACAGGGGACATACATGGTGAATCTACAGTGACATAGCCTACCCCCTTCTTCGGAATTGAACGTCTCTGAGTAACATTTGGGTTCAGTCGCTACCGTGTTCATCATTATCCTCAGTCTCCGTCAGGCACCTGCAACTTGAAGGCAGAGCCGATTGATCTACAGGGTGATCGCATTCAAAAGCATAGATTGTGTTGCCTCGGGGTTGACAGAAGCAACTATTGCATACATTGAACATAATCTTGAGCGAGAAACCAGGAGAAATCCCATGACAGTTGACAGTTAAAATATTTTGTCTTCTTTAAATAATAATAATAATGAGAAATATTTTCCTACGTGGGTACTGAATTTCAGGAATTAGGATCGTGCTTCTAAACCATGCATTCCTTCAAGTAAGACGATAAGAGCTAACCTAGCAACAACATTACAGGGAAGGAGTCTTTGCTCAGTTGCCATTTCTGCTTTTCAAAAGTTGTGCTTAATTGTAAGCGTGATCTTCCTAACGCACTCCAGCATCAGTGTGTGATAGAGAGGGAGAACCAGTCCAGGTTGTGTACAAGTACAACATGGAGTCTCCACAAGGGTTTGACCCGATTAAAAGCCCACACCTATCCTCACCAAGCAGGGAAGGTCTTTATTACCTTGCTGAGCAAGAAGGAAGCAACTGTGAAGAAAAGAAATTGCCTCGCCTTACTAACAAGCATCTAGTGGAGTGACTAGTACCATCATGTAAGGAAAATGAAGCCATGTTGCATCCAGATATTCCTGTTTGCAGAAACCTCACAGGACAATGCAAATACCTTGCATTATTATGTTTGTTCAAGCAGCCAGCTCCCCCTTGCCTGGTTATGGAATGATCCTTAGCTAATGTGCTTTCAAAACCGAGTTTGCTATAGCAGGGCTTGAATACAAGGCCTTTTAAGAATTGAGTAACCACGTGAAATAATTTGGCCTTAAAAGTAGAAACATAAATTACAGAGCGAAAGGTGAAGGGCCAAAAAAATAAATACATAAAAGCCTTTTATCATTAATTTTCCTGGAGAGTTACTTAAAGGTTTTCTTAAAGCAATTTTGCCCTGATTACTGAAGTAGCAAATAAAGGTAGAGTGAATATTTTGTTTTGAAAAGGTGCACCAGCTCTGACAGTTTTTCTTAGCTGACTAATTAGCCATTTGCATGACTAATGGCACAGCAAATACCTATTCATACGTTTTTACAATCCAGTGTAGAAGGGTTTTCAACTGCTGGAGCTTGAGAGATGATCCTGAGCCGGCCCTCTGGGGATACATTTGGCCTTCAGAACTGCAATCACACTGAGCCTGCAATCCTCACACTCCCCCACATTCCGTGTCGGTGTTACAGTCTTGTGCAAGTCACTCTGGTCTTCTGTGTGTCACTGGGAGAAGTGTGTTTGTGAGCACATGTGTGTCTATTGTTGCTAGGAATTTGGCACAAGTCAAAGATGACTGCTTCTTCTGAATGTCTGTACTGCGGACTACAGTGTAGCTAAAAACATTTTCTTTTCAACTAGTTAAGGATTTTTAAAAAATCATATTATTGGGGGCTCTGACGGCTCTTATCACCATCCATCCATCCATCCATTGTGTCAAGCACATTTGTACATATGTTGTCATCATCATTTTCGAAATATTTTCTTTCTACTTGAGCCCTTGGTATCAGCTCATTCCCCCACCCCCCCATAAACCCTCCATAATTTATCTTTTTTTTTTTTCATGTCTTAACACCAACTGCTGTCTCCTTTCACCCACTCTTCATCCCCCTGGGGGGGTGAGGTTATATGTCAATCATTTTGATTGGTTCCTCCTCTTTCCCCCCACCTTTCCCCTCCCCTCGTGGTATCACTACTCTTATTATTGGTCCTGAGGGGTTTATCTGTCCTTGATTTTTTTTAATATATGTATACATTATTGCCATCATTCGTAGCTGCCCAAGTGTTCAGTAGCCAGTGTTAAGCTTAGAGAACAGAAAAATATGTGGTAACTTAGGCTTTTCCTTGGATGTGAAATCTCAAGAGATGGAGTGGTCAGACCAGTCTGTGGTTCTCAGAACTCACTGGATTGTGACTACATCACATTTTGCAACAGAACGTTTCTGAGTCTCCGTTAGGAAGCACCTTGTTTATAGCTTGAAAACCAGTCGGCCAAGGTTACTGACACAGAGTTTGTGGTCTAAAAGTTTGATTTGACTCGGCCATGTAGAGAAAGCAACGATTCAAGAAGTGTCTATCGAAGAAAAGAATCGTGATTAGTGAATCGGTTGCATTTGGAAGCCTCCAGTTTCTGTGCATGATGCTGTGTCCTAGACGTCCAGATGCAACAGCAATTTCTGACACCTAAGGCTGCAGCTAATCATCGTACGAAGGCTCTGAGGTGTGACATTGTGGGATGACGTGGGCTAATGTGATGAGTTCGGTAAAACCGTAATTCAGAGTGCCATGGAGAACAAAGCACTGCTTCTCTGCCCCAGCCTCATAGCCTATGCTGCAGCCTGTGCATCAGTCCCTCTCACTGAGGATCGTCCTCTTTTTTAATGACCTCCTTTACCCAACAGGATCTCCTTCTCCAGGGACTGGTCTTTCCTGTCAGCATGTGCCAAGCGCACTAGACCAAGGCTTGTCATCCTCCCTTCTAAGGAACATTCTGGCTGTACTTCCAACACATTTTTTTTGGTGGGGGTGGGGGGGGTATTTATTTATTTATTTAAAAAAATTATTATTTTTTTTTTAAACATTTTATTAGGGGCTCATACAACGGTTATCCCAATCCATACACCCATCAATTGTGTAAAGCGCATTTGTACATCGTTTCTCAAAACATTTTCTCTCCACTTAAACCCCCGACATTAGGTCCTCATTTTTCCCTCCCTCCCCGCTCCCCCGTCCCTCATGAGCCCTTGATAGTTTATAAATGGGTATTTTGACATATCTTGCCCTGTCCGACGTCTCCCTTCACCCACTTTTCGGTTGTCTGTCCCCCAGGGAGGAGGTCACACACAGTTCCATGTAATCGGTTCCCTCTTTCCTACCCACTCTCCCTTTACCCTCCCTGTTTTGCCACTCACACCACTGGTCCTGTAGGGCTCATCCGCCCTGGATTCCCTGTATTTTCAGTTCCTATCTGTACCAGCGTACCTCCTCTGGTCTAGCCAGACTTGCAAGGTCGAATTTGAGTCATGGTAGTGGGAGCGGGGAGGAAACATTTAGGAACTCGAGGAAAGCTGTATTTCTCATCTTTGTTCATTTTCTGGTAGCCCATGGTATGCTTCATACTCTTTGCCAGCTAAAACCATACTTCAAAGGCGTTAAACTTAAGAGGACGGTCTTCCTGAGTCATTATCTCGCTTTCACATGCATGTGGGATCATTAAGCATACCGTGGCTGGGTCAGGTTTATCTTCGTCCTCGAAGTGACACCTCTGCTTTTGACCACTTTTTAAGATGTCTTTTGCAGCAGATTTGCACAGTGCTTGATTTCTCGACTGCTGCTTCAATGGGGGTTGATTGTGGATGCAAGGAAAACGAAATCCTTGACTTCAGTCTTTTCTCCACTTTGATGTTGCTCATTTGGGTGCTATACATACATTAAAGGACATGCAGAAATAGGAAGGTTTGCCAAAGGGCAATGTACAAAAGATTATCAAAAAGTTCATATTTTACCGAAAAATCGTCTAGATGAGAACAATAACGTGGACTTCTGTTAGAGAAGTGTGCACAGGGACTGATTTGGCAGTAAGGAGATCAGTGTTTCCACATAGCCCTGCAACCTTCGAGGCAAAGAATCACAAAGCATTCAGCGCGTGTAAATCCTCTTGTGCTTTTTTAACTCACCTTGAGTGAATGAGATGTGCTTGTTGAGATGTGAACTTAACAAAAAGCTTCAGAACAGGAAGATGACCTCTGTTGGCACATGAAATAATAGTGTCTACAGAAGAAAGCTAGTAACCTTTGGCCATGATTTATTTTATGCCCTGATCAGACTATCAGACTAGCAACTATCTACGTGGAAAAATTTCTAACATGCCTTAAAAAAAAAAAAAAAAGTATTGTTTGATCCAAAGACCCACTTTTCCTTTAGCTATTGTGATCAGGTTCTGTTCTTCTGTGTGGTTTTTTATTCTTTTCACTTTTATAGAAAGGCAACTTTTTTTTCTTTTGCATTTTGTCCTTTGGAAGTGGCAACTTTGGGATTCTTTTAAGCTGTGACAGTGATGGTAACTGATGCTGTTCAACTCTGTTCCCCTCCTAGAAAACACGCCAGCATCGGATCAAAAGTATTCCATAAGATCTTTCTTAAAACGATTGAAAGGTGCTTCGAGGACTCTCTCCTTCCATATGTAGAATTAGGCAGGGACTCTGGAGTCCGGTGGCTCAGTTGCTATCACTTTTCTGGGGTAAAACTACTGATTTTGCTTTTCTACAGGAAGAAATGTTGCCTATGGATGTCTGTTTGTTTTCCAGGGTTTTCTAAGTGTGAATGCTCTCTGTGGATGTGTAAATGTGCACGTGTTTTGTTCGGTTTGCCCTTGTTGGCTGTCCTGTGTTCGTTTGCTTTTTTTTTTTTCTTGATCACCAATAGTCAAGTCTTGTGTTAGCTGTGAGTAAGCTTTAATTGTCTTCTTAGCCAACCAGATATTAAAAGACTATGGGGTCTTGTTTTCATTTTTAAGTGTCATTGTGCATCTGTTAAATTTTAATCAGGGTTTCGAGAATGACTGCAGTGGGTTTTGGTAACAGACTTATTGATTTGGGATTTCCCAGAGATAAATATAGTTCACAATTAATTGTTGAGCTCTAATACAACTGACCATTTAAATATTAAACGGGAGTTTATTGTTTTGTAACAATGTCAGTTGTTTAACCTTGACATTTCAATGGAAACATGAATTTTAGTGATGATGCAAATTCAACAGTTGTATCTGGAGTTAAATTATTTTAACAAATAAATTTATTTAATGAAACATTCCCTAGATTTGTTTTTGTTTGGTTTTGTACACATTTGCAAGTGAGTGTGTTTAATCTATACCCTCCAAAATGAAAAAGGATTTGCCATTGAAGGAAGTTAATGTTGTTCATACAGAACTCTTCAAGCTGGATGAACTTGAGAATTCACTATATAAAAAAAGCTTTGGTTGTATCTTTTTAAAATAAAGATCACATGAGAATTTAAAACCATTCATTATAAATATGGACATTTCTGTAAATGGTATTTTGCACGTTTGGTGGAGCTAGCTAATTGGAGGCAATGCTAAGGTGAGTAGAATTATGGTAGCTAAGGGGCATTAATCGGTGATGACTTTGTGGTCTGGCAAGAACCTCTAAAAATATCTCACTGTCCTAAGTGATGACGTGAGGCTGCCTTTTTATTTTCAGGTCACGTGGATCCAAAGGTGCCAGAGACTAAAGACTGCTGCTCCGTGGGCTGTAGGGACTTCTTGTTCTATCTGGGACCCAGTGAATGTTGACAAATGCTGGTAATTGTACACAGTCTTCAGCTGCTCTGATAACTGAGCCCACTTATTCCTGGAGACAATTTAAACCACGCCTTTTGGTTATGATGCCTGCAAACTCTATTGAATGCCCCTGGTGACATTCCACCAGTTGAGAAGCTTTGTTGATTTTCAGACTATAAGAATATTTTAATGAATGTAACAGAAGCACTACAGGCAGAGTCTCAAATATTCAAAGAAAAATGCACCTGTATTTTATAATAAATATCAGCCAATTAGTTGCATACTCTCATTTGAAGTATGGTAAAGTACTTAAACTTAAACAAAAAAATCCTAATTCCAATTGGGAGAATGTTTCTTTTGCCAAAAAAAAAAATCAATTCTTGAAGTAATAAATTCTATGTAATGGTAGAGGTCCATGAGCTGAAGTAATAAGGTGTCATTCCATTTGCAACCAAGTATACACGTTTACCTCTGAGACCTTTAAAGCAGAGAGAGTTGACACAAATCCTAAAAAGGCTACTGAACCTTTTTTTGTTTCTTAATGTCAAAACTCTACCTATTTAGATCTAGTTGTCTTGCTAGGTGCTTTTGAGCCAGTCCAAGCCATGTATGACAAAACTGCAGGTACACCAGCCTCCCACGCCTTACTGGGCTTGAGCCCATTGTTGTAGCCCCTCTGTGGGCTGAGTGCCCTCTAAGTACCTGGGGGGCTCAACATACGGTACTCCATCAGACCATGTTCCACTGGCCAATCTTTTCAGAAACAGATCGTCAGATCTAATTTCGTAGTCTGTCCATCTGGAAGCTCTGCTGAAACCCATCCACCTCGGGTGATCTTGCTGGTGTTTACAATACTGGTGAAGTAGCTCACAGAATCACAGAATCACAGGAAAGCCACCACAGGACAACAAACTGACAGACAAGGGGTGGAAATGTCCAGTTGGCCCGTTTAAATGCTTCTAAAACAGAGCGGTGCCTCATTTTTTAAGTGGATAAATTAAACTTCAAGATCTTAAAGGAAAAACCATGTAGTTAACATTGAAAAATTTTTAAATAGCCCGCTTTCCTAGATATGGAGAAATGTTTCCCATGCTGTCCTAGAATGGTAGTCT